TTTCCAAAACATTTATATAACCTGTCCCTGACTCGTGAACCAGGCTCCAAGTGGCAAATCAGTATACTTTTCCTACTCGGCTATGAAGTTTCGAAGGCTAAGACTTTCTTCGGAACCATAGATATCATTTCAAGAGGAAATAAGTTCATTTATTTTTTCCGCACAACAGGTAATATTTGTACAGTTCATTACCCTAACACGATTATCGATGTTCATGTTCATCACCACACTGTATCACTGGGTATTTGTATTGAACTCCATGCATTTGTGGTAATTACGGGATATAAAAAATACGGGCTAGTCTTTCACAGAAAATGAAAGGTGTAAGGATTGGACACGCAACCTTGCGTCTGTACTACTTGCCTGCAGCAAGCGAATCTACTTTGTGTGAACAAATACCTCCGTCCGAACGGAGCTGCTGGGTGCTACCAGTATGACTGTGAATCTGATGCGGAAGGCGCGTGGTTATACTCATTACTACTATTCAAGATTCAAAATCGTCCTGTGGTGGGCCAGTTATATCAAAGAAGTAGCGTATGAGACCCAAGATTCAGTAGCGGGCTCCTTTACTGCCTCGCAGTGTAGCCAGAGATCCAAGTCTTAGTCTAAAACTGAAGCCACTTCCCAATTTGCCTCGAAGGCCTCACTTATGCTTCCTACTCTACCCAGTCTATCAAGCCTCACTCTTCTTTACACTCCTGCAACCTCCAGTTTTTTCCAGCTCGCCGTGTCCGCCCCAACAAAACGCTAATCGGATCTTCTTAGCCCTATTATAGACTTCAGAGGATAGATGAAGTCCTGGACTACAATGTTCAATTGACTAGAATCTGTTATGTCGTCAACTTTTCCGACAGGAGAGGCGGCCCCTTACTGCCTCTTCGCAAATAGGTAGCGGGGACGGTCGGGGTCCTCAAACGATACTACAAGTGCTTGCCGGGTGGGGGGGTGATTGCTGATAATTGAGATCTGGTGTGGTGCTTATAGCTCAACCTGATGTTTAAGAAAGCGAACGCCAAATAGATCCGCCTATCGATGTCGTGCCGTGGGGTCCAAGATAACGCACAATGAGCTCATTTCATCCAATTAGAAATCGTAGTGATAATCGATGGAAAGATATATATATATATATATCCAAGATTTCACCGTGGAGAATGACGGTTAATGAACAGATAATGCCGAATAGAGTTCTCTTCCAGATAGTACTGTCTGTGCGTATGATGCACAGTTTCGTGAATATTCGAGTTAAACACGAATTCGTAATTATTATCTTGAAAAATAAGTTTTGTAGAATGGAGACGCTAATATTTCGCACTTCATTTGTTTTTTCCAATAAATCTCGATCACAGTGTCAAATCACCATGTCAAAGTTGAGACAAGTACGATCTGACGATAACATAAAGGTCCAGGTCAGGACTTTCACCGGAATTCTTTTCCGAGCAGGCGTCTCCTTAATAGGCCTGTCTATTTCCACCCTCGCCACACTATCAGCCTGCAACCACTTCCCTACTGCCCACCTTTGCTACTGCCCACTGAAACATTCGTAGCTATTGGATGAAGTATAGCGGAGTTAAACTGGCGTTTATACCAGGATACTCGAAATGTAAGTTTTATAAATAATTCAAAGTCTTACCGATAAAATACGATAATGTTGTGAATATCAGAGTATGTCAGCTGCGAATCAGTTGCACTCAAAATGACACAGTTAGACCCGAAAATAGCGCGGCTTAGACTAATTATGCGTCTTTATTGCGAAAACACAATTATTCACTGCATATAGTGTTGTACCGTATATATCACAGATATCCAAGCTACACACCCATAATTCGCGAAAATCTCACTTTTTGCGACTGTGGCCTAATATGTAGTGTCCTACGGTCTTTTATGTATCGTGTTGGCGACGCATGATTGTGTACAATAACGGTATTAATTAATAACATCACTTTCAGCAATAATACAATCTAATATGTAAATAAGTCTAAGAACGCCATTAAGCTGCATATTATTGTGCCTTTCCAAAGTTTTGGCCAATCTGACCTTTAAAGGCTGGTCCTAAGCAAGGGTGGGTAGGGCTAAAGGTGGGATTTGAGGACGAACTGAAGTTGAATTGCTAAGCCAGGCCACTAAATAAAATGATATTTGACCAAGAACACTGTTTGATTTTGCCGACTATGATCCAATAATACTTGATTGTGGAGGTACTACGTAAGGGCTCCGATTTAGTTTAACAAATTAAGGCTGAATGGCCAGAATTTGCCGGCCATTTACCCTTACGTAAGGTATCCACAACAGATTGATTTTAAATCAAATATGGGCTACTCATCAGACATACGCTGGCGTGGCATTGTCTTGCAGTATGTCTACAATATTGAGATCAGCGTAGTTGCCGGTGTACTGGGCGTCTCGCCCAGAAGCCTTCGGAGATGGTACCATCTCTTCAAGACAACAGGAAATGTCGACGACACCCCAAAGAATG